AGATGATGGAGGTGGATGGAGGTGGATGGAGGGGGATGATGGATGGAGGTGGATGGAGGTGGATGAAGATGATGAAGTTGATGGAGATGATGGAGACGATGGATGGAGATGATGGAGATGGAAATTTGAGGCAAACTTGGGGAACAAGGGGAAAACCTGAGGAAACGGAGGCGAATTTGGAGGAAATTGGGGGCAACTGGGGAGAAACTGAGGAAACTGGAGACAAACGGAGGAAAATCGGGGAAAGTTGGGGGAAAAGGCAGGAAATTTGGGGAAAATTGGGGGAAATCGGGAGGAACCTGATGGAATTCGATGGAATTCGATGGAATTCGATGGAATTTGATGGAATTTGATGGAATTCGATGGAATTTGGGCGGCTGTTGACGGATGGAGCCCCCCGACCCCCTCCACAACCCCCTCGAGAACCTCCTGGTGCCCCCGTTTGGACCTCGACGCCCACCCCCGCCCTCTCGCACCCCCCTTTAGATGTGAAGCCCCAGGTGGAAGCCACCATCGTGCCGCCGTCCCTCGAGGACCTGTACCTGAAGCAGAACGCCAGCATCTCCTGCGTGGTGTCCAACCTCAAGTCCACCCAGGACGTGAAGTTCTCCTGGAGCAGGGACAAAGGGAGCGCCTTGGATGCCACCACGGGGCCGGCGGAGAAGTTGGCCAACGGGTTCTACAGGCTCAGCAGCTCCTTGAAGATCTGCGCCGAGGAATGGAACTCTGGGGAGAGGTTCTCCTGCAGCGTCAGCATCCCCGAGCTCCAGGAGTCCATCACCAGGTCCATCAGGAAGGTCACAGGTAGGACATGGAGCTTCGGAGCCATCCGCTGGAGGTGGATGGTGGTGGTGGGACAAAGTGGGTCTATGGGGAGGGTCCAAGCCCATTGGAAGGGTCTAAGTCCATTGGGACGTCCAATAGGGATGATCTACTGGGAGACGATGGTCAACCAAGCCCCTAAGAAGGGTCTAAACCCATTGGAAGAGGTTGGTCTAGAGGAAGATCTTGGTCTATGGGGAGGGTCCAAGTCAACTGGAAGGGTCTAAGTCCATTGGGACACCCAATGGGGATGGTCTACTGGGAGATGATGGTCAGCCAAGCCCATTGGAAGGGTCTAAACCCATTGGAAGGGTCTAAACCCATTGGAAGAGGTTGGTCTAGAGGAAGATCTTGGTCTATGGGGAGGGTCCAAGTCAACTGGAAGGGTCTAAGTCCATTGGGACACCCAATGGGGATGGTCTACTGGGAGATGATGGTCAGCCAAGCCCATTGGAAGGGTCTAAACCCATTGGAAGAGGTTGGTCTAGAGGAAGATCTTGGTCTATGGGGAGGGTCCAAGCCCATTGGAAGGGTCTAAAGCCCATTGGAAGAGGTTGGTCTAGAGGAAGATGATGGTCAACTAAGCCCATAGGAAGGGTCTAAGTCAACTGGAAGGGTCTAAACCCATTGGGACACCCAATAGGGACGATCTACTGGGAGGTGATGGTCAACCAAGTCCATTGGAAGGGTCTAAACCCATTGGAAGAGGTTGGTCTAGAGGAAGGTCTTGGTCTATGGAGAGGGTCCAAGTCAACTGGAAGGGTCTAAGTCCATTGGGACACCCAATGGGGAAGGTCTACTGGGAGATGATGGTCTATGGGAAGGGTCTAAGCCCATTGGAAGGGCCTCAACCCCATTGGAAGGGTCCAAGCCCACCCCCATTGACCTTCTCTCCCACCTCCTCCATAGACACCGCTGTGAAGCCACCAACGGTCTACGTCTTCCCACCACCCTCCGATGAGCTGGTCCTCCAAGAGACGGCCACCCTGACCTGCTTGGCCACAGGCTTCAGCCCCAAGGACATCTTGGTCACTTGGACCCAACAAGACCACCCCGTGTCCTCCGAGAGCTTCTCCACCTTTGGTCCCAAAGCTGAAGGAGATACCTTCACCCTCTATAGCATGTTGAAGGTCCCAGTGGTTGAATGGCAACGGGGGGACACCTTCTCCTGCATCGTTGGCCACGATGGGATCCCCTTGACCTTCATCCAGAAGAACCTGGACAAGAGCCTTGGTAAACCCACCATGGTCAACGTCTCCGTGGTCCTCAGCGACTCCGATGTCACCTGCTACTAAGCTGGGCCCTGATTGGACGGGGCGGGGTGGTGGGATGGGGATGTGATGCTTGATTGGTTGTCATTCCGCATCCCAATAAAGACTGATCCCAATGGAAGCCCGATGCCCCATTGGCCAACTCTTGGTGGAGGAAGAGCTAATGGAGATGGTGGTGGGGACCATTGGGGTGAAGAGAAGGGTGGTGGGGACGTGGTTATGGGCTTTCCGTGCTCCGCTCTGGGGTGGTGGCACCTCAGTAGGGTTCGGTGGTGGTGATGGACACGGAGGGAGGAGATCCAGAGGGAAGCTGAGCCCAAAAGGGGGTGGTTTCAGACCCCAAAGTGAGGTGGCTTCAGCCCGAACTGGACCTCGAGAGGGTCGAGAAGAAGGGATGGGGTTGGCCACCACCATGGGGATGGGGAATGGGGGGGGTTGGTGGTCACTTTGGTGGTAGGAAGGGTTTGGAGAAGGATGGAGAATGGGGAACGGGTTAAAGTGGCCAAAACTGGTGGCTTTTTGGGGTGTCCCCCAAAGGTCTTCATGGTTCCTTTGGTCATAGGAGGGTTTTGGAGCAGAAATGGGGGGAAACGGGGGGGTTTGGGGGTGTCCCCCAAAGACCTTCATGGTCCCATCACTTTACAGGAGAGTTTTGGGGCAAGGATTGGGTGGAAAATGGCCACAAACGGCCAAAACATGGGGGGGGTTTGGTGTATCCATCGTGGTTCCTTTGCTTGTAGGACAGGGTCGGTCAAGAACTGGGTGGAAAGTGGCCCAAAACGGTGGGGTTTTGGTGTGGCCACCAAAGAACCTCGTGTTGCCTTCACTCACGGGGCAATTTTGGGTGGAAAACGGGTTAAAACAGCCCCAAATGGTGGGTTCTTGGTGAGGCACCAAAGAACCTCGTGGTCACTTGGAGCTGAGGAGGCTTCTGGGCAAGGATTGGGTGGGAAACAGGCCCAAAGGGCCCCAAACTGGCCCCAAAAAGGTGGGGTTTGGTTGGGTCCCCCCCCGCTGAAGTCCTCTTCTCCTGCCCCAGATCCCGACCTGGTGCCGGCGGGAGACGAGACACAAGGGGAGGGAGAAGAAGATGCCTCCGAGCTATGGACGGCCGTGACCTTCATCATCCTCTTCCTCCTCAGCCTCTGCTACAGCACCGGCGTCACCCTCTTCAAGGTGACCGTTGCGCTGGTTAATTAAGACCCATTAGTGCTTAATTAAGGCCGATTAATGATTAAGTCCTATTAATGATTAATTAAGTCCTATTAATGATTAATGAAGGACGATTAATGGTTAATGAAGACCGATTAATGATTAATTAAGACCGATTCATGATTAATTAAGACCGATTCATGATTAATTAAGGCCGATTAATGATTAATGATTAAGACCGATTAATGATTAAGACTGATTCATGATTAAGACCGATTCATGATTGATTAAGACCCATTAACGATTAAGTCTTATTAATGATTAATTAAGACCGATTAATGATTAATTAAGTCCGATTAATGATTAATACCATTGGAAACACCATTGATTAAGACCGATTAATGATTAACTAAGGACAATCAATGATTAATCAAGTCCGATTGATGATTAACTAAGACCGATTCATTATTAATTATGACCGATTCATAATTGATTAAGACCGATTAATGGTTAATTAAGGCCGATTAATGATTAATCAACTCCGATTGGTGATTAACTAAGACCGGTTAATGATTAATTAAGGCCGATTGATCATTAACTCAAGCTGATTAATCATCAATTAAAGATTATTATCATTAATTAAGGATTATGAATGATTAAGTAAGGCTGATTAATCTCTAATTAAGCTTGATTAAACATTATTTAACGATTCAGTCTGACTAATCGTCCATTAGGGATTAGTAATGATTAATCAAAGCTTATTAATAATTAATGAAGACTAGTTAATGATTAAATAAGGTCGTTTAATCATTAGTTAAGGCTGATAAGCAGGTAATTAAAGCTGATTAATCATTCATTAAGGCTGATAAATAATGAATTTAACTTGATTCATCATTAATTAAAGCTTATTAATGATTAATTGAGGCCGATCAATCACTAATTAAGCCAATTAATCATTAATTAAGGCTGATGAATGACTAATGAAGCCACTTTGTGCCCTGCAGGTGCTGTGAGAGCCACCAAAGGAGGAAGAACCCCACCATTGGGTTGTCCATGCTCTTCCCACCACGGTCGGGTGGATCTTGAGGTGCTTTTGGGGGATTCAAGGAATAAAACGGATCCAGCCCCATTCCATTGGCTGGAAAACCCAGTTTTCCCTTGGGATCGGCTCCTTTTCTTTGGTGTTTCAACCCAATTCCCATCCAACCACCAAAAGTCACCGTTTTCCACCCAAATTCACCCATTTTCTTGGTTTTTCACCCCAAAACTCCACGAAACTCCCCAAAATCACCATTTACCCCCATATTTACCCATTTTCTTGGTTTTTCACCCCAAAACTCCACGAAACTCCCCAAAATCACCATTTCCTACCCAAATTCACCCATTTTCTTGGTTTTTCACCCCAAAACTCCACGAAACTCCCCAAAATCACCATTTTCCACCCAAATTAACCCATTTTCGTGCGTTTTCACCCCAAAACTCATCTCAAACGCCCATTGTCCCCCCAACCTTCACCCCACGGTGTGGACATGCCGTAGAAGCCCCAAACCCCACGTTCCTGGCCCCCAAACCCACCTCCAGGTGGTGTTTATCGTTACCCAGTGTTTCATTTCTCCTCTTTCTTCTCGGTTTCGGGTCCTTTTTGGGGGGGGTTGAGTCATTTTGGGCGGGTTTGAGTCATTTTGGGCTCCAGGAGGCGCCGTTCCCACCACCCTGAACATCTGGATGGGGGGAAGAGGAACCTGCTGGGCCCCATTGACCCACGTTGAGGTTCTCCTTCTGAGTCAGCCCCAAGAAGGGGAAACCCAATGGAGGGACCTTGAGGAGCCTTCAAAGGGGGTGGAGAACCTAACCCAAGCCACTGGTGGTCAGGTCAACCCAATGGTGGTCTATCCAACCCGACGGTGGTCAAGTCAACCCAATGGTGGGCTATCCAACCCAACGGTGGTCAAGTCAACCCAATGGTGGGCAACCCGACCCAGTGGACGACAACCCAATGGTGGTCAATCAACCCAATCCATAGGTGGTCAAGCCAACCCACCCTGAGGCCAAGTGACCCCATAAGCTCCTGGGCAACCCCGTAAAGCCCCATAGGGCCACCTAGAGCCCCATAGGGCCACCAAAACTGGTCCTAGGAGCAGGAATCCCATTGAAACCATCCCAAAACTGGTTCTAGGAGCAGGAATCCCATTGGAAACATCCTAAAAATGGTCCTAGGAACAGGAATCCCATTGGAAACCATCCCAAAACTGGTCCTAGGAGCAGGAATCCCATTGGAAACACCCTAAAACTGGTCCTAGGAGCAGGAATCCCATTGGAAAACCCCTAAAACTGCTCCTAGGAACAGGAATCCCATTGGAACCATCCCAAAACTGGTTCTAGGAGCAGGAATACCATTGGAAACACCCTAAAACTGCTCCTAGGAGCAGGAATCCCATTGGAAAACCCCTAAAACTGCTCCTAGGAACAGGAATCCCATTGGAACCATCCCAAAACTGGTTCTAGGAGCAGGAATACCATTGGAAACACCCTAAAACTGCTCCTAGGAGCAGGAATCCCATTGGAAAACACATGGAAAAGGGGGGAAACATGGAAAACTTTATTTCTTAGGAGGAGAATATTTACAACAGGGAGGAAAAGGACACGGATCCCAGAGAATTCCATTGATATCCAGCATTGGAGGGGATGAGGAGGTGGAATTCCATCGGGAATGGGGTTATTTCACCTGGGATAGGGGGGAAAACGGGAATTCTTCGGTTATTCGGGACCAATGGGGATTTTAGGGAAAATCTGGGGGAAATAATAGGGGTTTTAGGGAAAACTGGGAGGAAAATTAGGGATTTTAGGGATACATGGAGGGAAAACAGGGATTTTCTGGGAAGGAAGGGG